TCAAAAAAAAAAAAAAAATCAGAACCTTATCATGGCCTTCTGACTTCGAGTGCAAAATATTCTGGATTTTAATGCTATATTCACATTAGGCATGTGAGTACTGATGCACCTATCTTTCTTTGTTCCTAGAAATACAGTCGTGTGCAAATGATTTATTTCAGCTTCACCTTGTTACGATGACCTATCAAATTTATATTCCTCACTCACCATCCAAATTGGTGGATGATCTTTCCCAGCTGACTTAAAACACAGCAAATCTTTTTACAATACAAGTCTGTCTCATAAAGCAAATTTCAGTTCTAAATAATATAAAAATAGCTTTTATTACATCTGTTTAAGGTATTACCCCCAAAGTCTGCCAGTTCTCATTCTTTTTCTCTGAATAATTTTTGCAAACTAAGGTATAAAACTAAGTTATAAAAGCAATGGTGTATCGTTCTTGGCATACTGGTCTTAAAAGTTGTTTCCCAGAATCATGAATTCATCCTATGCAATATTATTTAGTACCTACTGTGTGCCATCCTTGAGACACAAACACTGAGCAAAAGCAGACACAGTGTGTGCTCTCAAGGGGCTTACAGTCTGGTGCAAGAAACAGAAATGCATTGAGTAATCACAAAAGCACTGCAACTGAGACAAGTGCCAGAAAGGGGAGGCATACAGGGCTAAGACATGTCTAGAATGGGAGGACTTGACCTAGCTAGGGAGGTCTAGCAGGCTTTCCCAGAAAAGCAACACTTGAGCTGAAGTATGAAGGAGGATTAAGAGTCAGTGAAGTAGAAAAAGGCAGGAAGAGGATCCCAGACAGAAGTAAGAGTGTGGACAATGGCCCTGTGAGAGGAAGGAGCATGAGTAGGTGGGAGAAGACTAGTGTGGCTGCAGTACAGAAACCAAGGAGAATTGGCAAGGTAGCTGTCTTCCAAATTTCTTGGCAGAGACGAGTGAGCACTCTCAGTATTACATCCATTTGTTGAAACATCTCCATTGGTATTATGTCAATTCCTGGAGCCTTGTTTTCGCCAATGCCTTCAGTGCAGTTTGGACTTCTTTGATACTATCGGTTCTTGATCATATGCTACCTCCTGAAGTGGCTGAA